ACCGTAAAATTTGGGAATTTGAAAACACACACCGGCAATTATAGATTCATTGATTCTTAGAAGAGATTGCTGAATGTCAAACCTGGGTTTGAAAATTGATTAGCTAAAATATATATATATATATATATATATATATATGATGTACACCTGTTTATTCCTTTCCCTTTAAAATAAGAAACCGTTAGATAAGTCTCTATACATTTGTGTCGTGAATTGTTAGGCTGATAAAATGCAACAAAAAAAATTATATTTTTTAGTTTCTCAATTATATATGTGTATGTATATATATATATACACACACACAAATATCTGTATAGGCATTATTTAGTCATGATATAGGTCCGCCTAATTAGATGTAAAAGAACTACCCACCAACTAGGATGCTACTTAGATATCCGGTTGATATTATTATTAAAGGACTAGACTTTTTAGAAATAAAAATTATGAATCATACTATTTAAATCAAATGGGATGTGATGTTAAAATCATTGTGATTAATGTTAAATAATTACGGAGTGTTTGAAAACATTTATTTTTGGAGTCATAATAATAACCAGAAATAATAGGCTAGTGTGCGGGACTTCGGGACTTCCGCCGTTACGGAATGGGAGACCAAATGTATGTACTCTTATTTTATTTGGAGTTTTGTGAATTCTAAAAACGAATTAATGATTTTTTATTAAGTTGAAAAACGAACATAGATATAAACCGTCTATTAATAAATTAATAAAACTTTGAAATTTTTTATTTTTTATTTTTACTTCTGTCAAATAACTTTCTCACCTCTACTTTTTTCTTTTTTCTTTTTGAAAATGAAATAGATGCTATTATACAGTATGTTGTGGAAGATCGACATTTGCTTTATTGAAATAATGAAAAAGAGATCAAAATATTAACTAGTGCAATGCATTTTTTTTTATTTAACTCGGCAAAGTACAAACTTTCAGGACACCTCAACAACTCGACTAATTCTCAAAAATTCGAAAAGCGTCTTCTCACGCGGGTCAAAAAAGTCATTATAGGGATAGCAGAGACTAATCACAAAGAACACTGACGTTATGTAAAAGTAGAATATATTTGTTAATTTTTTTTTTTTTTAATAATATGCACATATATATATATATATATATATATATATATATAATATATACACACATATATGCGCGCGCAGTGCACACACACGATCAAGAGTAAATATTACCTCACCAAGACTTGGTAATGCAGTAAAAGTTCATAATAAAAAGCACATGCGAAAACTTGGTGGTTGGTTGAAGTAATAACCAAAATTACTCTTTCTTGATGTGCTATTTAATTCATTACCTAATATTGGTTATAATTATGTTGACATCATAATCTCTTATTTAAATTAAAATATATAAAACACGAGCCATGGTGCGCAATTACATCATCGCGTTGCTCGTACTAAAATGGTGTACAGAATATATATATAATTATACAATCCAGAGTAATGATGATTTAGTGTGATTGATTCTTATGATTATAAATAAATACTATACAAAAATTTGAATTACTTAAAAAAATTAATTGTGACAATTATAAAGGAATACGAGTGGACTAGTGTAATAAGGGAGAATTTGTCTCACATTGAATCTGAATAGAAAAGCGATTGGATATATATAGACTGGTCTCCACCTAATAGTTGGACTTTTGAATCAAATCACAAATCAATTACCATTACAATTGTTATCTGAATCAAATTCAGTTATTGATCCGGTGTCATGCCAGAAGAAGAATTTCGGGTAGCTAAGGTTAAAACAAAGTCCTTCCTCAACTCCATCTTTGAAGCCAACCCACATCAAGAATCTTTTAAGTCTAAATAAATTATATTTGGATTATTTGACTTGTAAAAAAAATAAAATATAAAAATAATTAAGTGGTTCTTGAATAAATGTGGTTTATTATAAAGTTTTGTATTATATCAAGTATGTGTCCTTCACACAGCTAAGTTTCTTCATATTTTTAGTTGGCCCCAAAGAATCACTTATTGTCCAGTTACAAAAGAAGTAACATCACTGTCTTCAAAACTTTTGAACCCCAATAATTTACCAAAACCGAACCACCCCCTGAATTGAGCTGTATTTCTCAAGAAAATTTGTTCCAAATCAAGTTGCTGCAAAATTGATTCTAGATTTTGACCTAATTGATTGAAAAATAGAACTTGCTCAACAGATTTTGCTCCTAATTGACCCAACAAAAAATTTATGTGTCGTTGAATTAATTTCAATCGTTTGCGTGCACAGTAAAGTTCATTTGTCATCACATACCACAAATGCATTATTTTTTAAAAAAACACGAATACGTTAAAAGTGGTGTCTAAATTGTAAAAGATTCTCTTTTGTAATATATTGTATGCGCTCAACGTCATTAAATCGTGTTTCTAACACATTATTTTTCAAACACTATGGTGCATTGCGGTGTAAAAGTGTGAAGTATGAATTCTCTGTTGTAACATATTCCCTTCTGTAGTGTGTTGTGTGCACTCAACACAATTAAATCGTGTTTCAACACATTTACGCAATTAAATCGTGTTTTTGATACATTATTTCAAGTGCATTGCCGTGTAAAAGATTGACATTTGATTCTTTTGTTGTAACGAGTTCTTTTATGTAGTGTGTTGTAAGCGCTCAACACAATTAAATCGTGTTTCAACATATTTATACAATTAAATTGTGTTTGGAACACATTATTTCAAATCAGTATAGTGCATTGTAGTGTAAAAGAGTGGCGTCTGAATCATCTGTTGTAACGGGTTCTCTTCTGTAGTGTGTTGTATATGCATTCAACCCAATTAAATCGTGTTTCAACATGTTTATACGATTAAATTGTGTTTATAACACATTATTACTCTGTATTTCAAAAAATACGGTACATTGCAAATTAGAAGAGCGGCGTTTGAATCTTCTCTTGTAAAGACTTCTCCTTTGCAGTGTGTTGTATGGTCTCGACAAAATTAAATTATATTTCAACACATTATTTCAAATGCGATAATTTCAACGAAATTAATCGTGTTTTGACATCGTACGGTGCATCGCAGTGCATAGGATTCTGACTAAAAAGATTGATGGTAGACCATGGAACTAAAAATTGATCATACGGCTACTGTACTAGTCCTTCATTCTAGAATGAGGCAGCAATCAATTGCAGAGGGCCTAAAGTAGTACTAAATGGTTTGACTTTTTCTGATGGTCTATAAAAGACCTGGGCCCGTTGATTCCTACCATGGCCCACCAAAACTCAAGATCGCAACGGTTGTACCAATTGCTTTGATCGTACAACCCCAACCTATTAGCAATTGTTGAGTCAGGGAGAAATTTAATGTTAGCATGATACTGCATTGCTACTCACTTACCCTCCATTAATAATATCAGGTGCATCAGGGTACAGGTTATTCACTGTGAGACATGTATCGTACGACCTATCATAAATCTGTGGGACCCACCTTCAACTCTCCCCAAAATATATATATATATATATTTCCACATTGTGCCTTTTCAATTCCCCAACTGCCCTCTTTTGATGCCTCTCTTAACTGCCCAAACCAATTGCAAATGAATTTCATTTAAGTTTGTTTAAAATCAACATTGACTTCACAAAAGCTTTGATTGTGTTCATTTTTAGAAAATAAAATAAACTACTCGAATCAAATAGCATTTTCAAATTTTCTTTGTTTAGAAATTAGAATTGATGAATTTGCGTGGTTTATTTGTGTAATTTTTGTCCCTTTCTTTGGTTCAATAATTGTTTGATTCTCTCCTCCGTAGTTGCTTTGTTTGTAGGGCATCTTCCCTTTTCCATCTATGCTTTCCTTGGTTTTCGAATGTTTTGTCAATAAAATCCAACTTATATATATATATATATATATATATATATATATATATATATATATATATATCATTTTCAAATTCATTAAAAAAGAAAATTCATCCAAACTCGTTTATAGATATTATGAAGAATATTAATTGATTAATTTCAAGAAGTTGGATCAAGTAAATAAGAACTTAACCTGCCTCATTAAGCATCAAATCTAAAGTTGGAATCCTCCCGGGTACAAACAATTTCTTGAAAGGTACGTGAATATCAACTATATATATATATATATTTTTTTTTTCATTATTGACCCCTTAACTTGCAAATATATATATATATATATATATATATATATTTGCAAGTTAAGGGGTCAATAATGAAAAAAAAAAAAAAAAAACCTTTATAATTGAATTCAAACTTGACTAAACAAGTCAAACGAATTAAATTCGAACTTGAGGAGAAGTATGCAAACCCAGCTTCAAAACTCATACATGAGCTACGCGTTTGACGTGAATTTAAACAATAGTTTGACTGATTCAGCCAAATGCTCAACTCGAATTGGTTTAATAATAAGACCGACTCATGTGATCTCTAAATTGCCACAAAATATCCACCACCTGTCTTTTTATTATTATTTTTATTTTTCCTTCCTACCTCGTCAAAATTATTCAAAATATTAGAGTTACTACATTAATATCTCAAGTTTGAATTTAAGTGATCTTTGTAATTTAGATATTTGGAGTTGCACTTAGGAGTTCAAAATATGACTTATGGTTAGAAGGGTTCATTGTAACTAAAACCGATTCACTACAATTAAGATTCATTTATTTCCGATTTTTTTAACCCACTTAAATAAATTTTTAGCACATTTGATCTAATTTGTTTTGAAATCTTATCATGAAAAAACCCGCGGAACACAATAAGGCTTATTCTTGAATTTTTTGTCTTGAAATCTATGATAAATGTGTCGAATCTTAAAACACGTTTAATTTTTTTTTTTTTTTTTTTAACATCATTATTTTTAATTTAGAGGCAGTAAATTATATATAAACACAATTAAAAATGTAAGTGCATTAAAAAAAACGCTTAAGCAAATGTTCTAAGGATGGTCCTCGCTCAATGAGAGTATCTCTATTGTAATCGAAGTGTTAGAAATATGATTACAATAAAAATAAATAAAAACAAAAATATGTGTTTATTTCTCGTATTAAATAGGAGTGTTTACAGAGAATTAAAGAGACTAATATAGTAAAAATCCAAAATTACAAGGGTAAAAACCGTACTTTGACATCATCGTCATTCGTCAACCATCGTCGTCCCCATCAATTATGATTTAATCTCCCGAAATCCACAAGCTTCCTAGATCTGTTCGCACGGTTCGACGCCGCCGTCGACAGGTGGGGCTTCATCGGAACCCTAATCTCCCCTGAACACCCCATATCCGGCGTCATTACCTTCTGACTATTCCACTGCCGGTGAGGGCTGGCACGCACTAACGGACTCAAACAAAATGCCATTCCCGACACGGTCCGACTGTGAGTCTGCCGTCCTCCTCCTCCTCCGCCTCGGCGTGCAGCCGCCGCCCCCGCCCTCCTCGGTGTCTGCCTCCATCCCTGAGACGACTCCGAAGAGTACCCGCTCGATCCTCCGTAGCATTCCTCGTCTTCCACGTCCTCCACATACCCCACCGGCGACATTCCCCGATCTCGATTCCGGCAACTCCTCCGACCTCCGGAGACCGTCGATTCGTTGACAAACGTCTGCGATTGCTTCTTCCGGCGGCCTGGGAGAATACTCGAAAACCACGACGGCGAAGACGACGAGGACAGCGTCGCCGCGCACGCGTCCCGAGAATCCGAATCCGTCACCTCCGATTTGGATCTGAACAGATTCGCGAAGAGAGAGAATTTGCTCTGCTTCTTGTGGTACGAGCTCGCGGTGACGATTGAACCATTGGGCCCCACTTGCGGAGTACTGTAGAACCGCTGATCCGTGACGCTGTTGTTGTGGAGGTGGTGGTTCCAGGCAGTGTAGTCAGATTTCCGGCGACTAACATAAGGCGAGACGGAGCGAGGGAAGATAAGCGGCGGCGGAAGCGCGTCAGATTTCCGGCGATCTTCTTGGGCCTGCCAGGCCTGGGCCTGGGCTTGGACTTGAGCTTGAACTTGGTCCTGGGCAGCTATAAGAGCGACGAGGCGTTCCCGCAGACAAGTAGCACAGACGCCGACGCTGCTACTCAGGTCCAGCAGGTGTTTCTTACACCTCATTTACTTATATGTATAAAACTATATATACATATACATATATATATATATATATATCTATAGGTTTGTGTCTAAATTTTTAGTGGGTAAGTTCGATTCTTCTTCTTCTCTCCTGTTATATGCTGAAATTTGAAGATCTGATAGAGGAAATTTGAGAGAGAGAAGGAGAGAGTTTGAGGTGGGATTTTTATGCGAGTGAGAGAGTATTTGTGAGCGTTGGGACTATTTGAGATTTTGGTATCTGCATTAATTAAATATATATATATATATATATATAGATATAGAGATATAGAGAGAGAGAGTGAGGCTAAAATTGGGACACGCAGACTTTGGAGTATTTACTTTTATCATTGTTTACTGGGTGGGTTTCCTTGTGAATGGTCTAATATTGATGTTTGACAAAACTTTTATAAATGGTTCTTCTCCTACCTATGCTTTGTTATATATATATATATATATATATATATATATATATATATTTTGGGTTAAAAGTGGTAAGCTACTATCTATCTATGCTTTGTTGCTTCTGTTTTTCCTCTATTTTAGGTGCTCTGCAGTTAATGAGTGAAATCCTCCTTCTAGAAGTAGTGCAGTGATGATACTTTTTTATTTTCTTTCGAGAAAGTGCTTATACTTTTCCATGATAACCATTTTTTTTGGAATTTACTTTTCCATGATAACATGTCAAAAATAAGATCAATTTGTACAGGAAAATTTATTACATGGTGTTCACACCATTGGTTCGGGACCAATCTTCAGTTGACAAATAAGCAAGAAGTGGAAAAGTTTGGGCACTTTGTTTACAAGGATGTATCCTTGTTCCTGGATGGACAATTTATTTGATTTTGTTTGGTTTTATGGAATTTATGCTTTGAAATTGAAATTAAAATTAAAGAAAAATTAATTGGAATCAAATTTATGAAATTGAATTGTAAAAATATTAGTTTATAATTATTTGGAACTTAGTTTGATCTAATTTTCTTCAAATTCATCCTCAAAGCATTATTTATAACTTACTCATAAAATTGGAACGGTATGGAGAAAATTAGCATAGCCCTGCCCAAGATTGACATGCACAAATGGAGAAATGGTCCCAAAAAAAAAAAAAACTTAATAATAATAACCCATTTCCAACTAACCGAACATGTTTTCACGATCCAAAAACAAAAGGTTAGTATATGCATTGAAATTATCAAATTCTGATTTGTGTTTGAATTTGCACTTGTTATAAACATACTTGAATGACTCCACTGGAAAATAATAATTGAAGTATAAAAATATAATCATTGTAAATCCATCACATGATTACAGTTCTGACTTGTAATTGCATTTTTTCTCTCGGCAAGACACGTTTTATCTATACATCCAATTAAATCGGAGAAAGTTGGGAAAAAAAATGAGCTAGACTACAATTGTGTGTAGTTTTTCCTTCTTAGAAATTATACACGCGTGTTTACTATATATATATATATATATATTATAGTATAATGGCAATGAGATGAAGAATACAAGGTTAGGTTTTGAAGCATGCTAAAAAGTATATATGGTCCATAATAAACACACGCCTTCTTGTCCGCGCATGGAAGTTGGCTTTTCAGCTACAACTTTGGTTTTTGTATGAATGGGTTTTCACCTTGGTTTCATCATGATGGCCACAAGCAACTTTGGTCACCAAACATTGGGTTTAGTCGTTTACTCTCCTAATCACCTTCATTTTATCAAGATTCAAACTCTATTTGAATTTTGCATTGTCCAATGACTCTTTGTTAAATAATAATAATAATAATTAAACCACTCTACTAACAAATTAATAGTCATTTTTATTATGTCATATCCTTACTTATATCACGGCCATACTTTATTTCAGTGAATGTTGGGCCGCTAAAAAACAACATATGTATAAATTGTAGTAAAAATGTAAATATTGAGATGAATGTGTGATAAGACTACAAAAAATAAAATTAAAAATAATTAATTAGAGAGATAGTTGGAGTAGCTGAAATTAGAGATAAAATGAGAAGAAAAAAAAAAAAAAAAACCATTAAAATATTTTCAACATGTGCAAAGCAAGACCTTTAGAGTGTAATTAGGGTAATTCGAGGGGGAGAAGAACATCAAAGTACACATAGGTGGAGATAATATGTCGGTTGACTTAAGTTATAATCTAAATAGAGTATAATGGAAAGATAGGATTCATGTAAGCGGTTGTAATTGAAAAAACTTTTAGTTGTTGTTTATTCTTATTTAGAGAATATGTGTTAGCTAGAGAAACTTTTCATATAATTATTTATCACAATAAAATACATACATCAATATGAATTAACATACATAAAAGAAATAATTTATACGGTAACTTTATTCATTGCGATGAAACATACACAAACAACATACTTTATTCATTGCGATGAAACATACACAAACAACATCAATCATTAGGAATGGAATACGATGTGAATAAAACAATTAGTTTAGAATTTAACAATATAATTAATTTAGTACTAGAAAAAATTAACTCAATAATATAAATTAAAATCAAAAAAATAACAATAATAAAATAGGTGGGAAATAGCTAGCCCGATGGAGAGACATATGTAAACATATTTATCTAAAGTAGATAGTTCACTTCATGAGAGTATTAATGAAACTAGTCAGCCTCCACGATACAACATAATCAGTTCATAATCACGCCTCTTCTATGTGTACGACCACATGAAGACTAAAAATTCTAAATCTATATAGTTACCATACACTTGTAAAGTAGTACAATAAATATATATATATATATATATATATATATATATATATATATATATATATATAGTTAACCATACACTTGTAAAGTAGTACAATAAATATATAAATATATATTATCAGTTCATAATCACGCCTCTTTTATGTATACGACCACATGAAGACTAACGACTAAAAATTCTAAATCTATATAGTTAACCATACACTTGTAAAGTAGTACAATAAATATATATATATATTATCAGTTCATAATCACGCCTCTTTTATGTATACGACCACATGAAGACTAACGACTAAAAATTCTAAATCTATATAGTTAACCATACACTTGTAAAGTAGTACAATAAATATATATATATATATATATATATATATATTTATTGTACTACTTTACAAGTGTATGGTTAACTATATAGATTTATATAATGAAATAGAGAGTTGTAACAATGAGCAGTATCTTTATAAAAAAAAATGACAATTGTAACAGTTTTTACACTTAATATGAATTTAATTCTGGGAGATTATATGGTGTTATTTAGAATTAAAAGTAGTCAAATTGGACACTCCACCTTTGAGCTCATGGTTGATCCAATAAGATAAATAGGTAAGTGAGCAAAAGAGAGAGGGTTGGAGTGAAAATAGTTTTTATTGCTTTGGGAAAATGCTTACAACTTATTTGTTTGGTGAGGAGTAAATGATCTATCCATCCCTATTTATAGCCAATGATTTGACTAAAAAATATGCATGGGAGAATTTTAGAATGGACTTCTAAAACCCTCCAAAGAAGGTTTAAAATATCTCTATACAATGCTGAATTAGTTTTAAAAGTAGCGTATAAATCTATATAACTCTAGAGAATTTTGTACAAGTCTAAAATGTTCTGATCATGTAGACTACTCGTGTCATCATCATATTGTGCATGTGGGTGGCATATCATCTCACCACGGAACAGTGACATTATGAACCAAATTGTTTTAAAAAAATTCATTATAATTATATATTTTCATACTTTATTTGTCAATAAATAAATATTAGACTACTCAAAACTATACAAAAATAGTAATAATGATAATAAAATAAATAAATAAATAATCCCTGTATACATGTGTTCATGGCTATGAACTATGCAAGCCATGTTGGAATTTGAGTTAGAATTGATTTCTTAATCAAGATTAACCAAAAAATGACATCCACAAAGCCCATGAAATAAGTGTCTTAATTCATGTATGCATATTTGCCATATTGATGATTTCACCAAAGCAATTTACAAATCATCTTATTCTAGCAACCTGCCTATTGCATACATGTGTGTGCTACCAATAGGCAATATAACACAAGGCAACATCAAAATCAACTAGTGTGATGTAGCATTCTACCCAACTGCTACTATTAACATCAACATAGACTTTTCTTTGTACACTCCCTCTATGCTATATGTTAGTAGCATTCCAGCTTCTAACCTAATGTACATGCACTGTCCCTGCAAATTTTACAAGACAACACCAAAACAATTTGCCAGTGGACAAACAGCAACAGGACATGCCTCTGTCCCATTTGCAAAATCGACAACTCGATCAAGAAACCCCCATTCTTAACCTAATAAACCACCTACTCACCTACTATTTTGCCCCTAGTCTTCGTTTTTGGATTACATTCTTGTAATTTATACACATTTTGTGCATGAGGTACTCTTAGTACGTGACATTGTGATGGATGGTGGACCAAGTTAGCCTGTAATTGGAAGTGCGTTACAACCCAATCCCATTTAGTAAAACATGAGGTTGGATTGCAATTAGTAAGTGTGCCACTGTCCCCATTTTTAGGAACGTGTGTGCGCGCATAATTATTGATAAGAAATACACACACTCACCATCTACGTGCTCACTTTGTTCTTTCTGTTGAATATATTGTAATATATATATATACACACACACATGATACAAAAACAACGAAGGCTTTTGATTTGCATTTACTGAATAGGTTGTAACCATTCAGATGATACATAACTTCTGATTTGCATCTTTTGGTAGTCTATAAATAGTGATGGGTGCTGCACATTCTGGATTCACTTTTTTCTGTTGTCTTTCTTATATCTAGTCATAACAGTTTTAACGAGTGTTTAGGAAATTCCTTCAATATTGCTAATTGCAGGAATTAAGAATTTATTGTATTCTAAAGGTGTTTTGCTATGTAATCTGATAGCAAACTCTGTGAGAGTGGGACAAATAACACCTTAAGGAAAGTAACTACACGACTTAAAGTTACAAATCATTCTTCTTTCTTCGAATTGTTGAAACCATGGCCTTCTATTTTCAAAGATGAGAAAGTGTTGTTAAGTTATGAACTTATAATGTCATTGATGAATCCGAGTACATATATATAAATATATGTGTGTGTGTGCGCGCGATAACACTTAAGATGCTTGTGGGATTTCAAAATGTGTTGTATTGGGCTGAATCTCATTTCATATATATATTGACATGTTATATTCCAATGAATGATGTTG